CCCCCCCCTCCCCCCCCCCCCCCCGGCTCCCCCAGCCCGCCCCATCCCGGGCAACAGCAACAACAACGATAACACCACCCCCCAAAAAAATAACATCCTAACAGGCGGTCTGTCTGGGATGCGAGAATTGCAAAAGCAATCCCCACCCCATCACGGAGAGAGTGTGTGTGCAGGGAGGAGAGGGAGCGTGAGGAGGGGGCAGAGAGGGAACGAGACAGACAGAGGGGAGGGAAGAAGGGAGGAGGGAGTCCAGGCTCTGAGAAACATCGCTCCATCTCTCTCACTCCACAGGAGCTGAGCAAGGAGCAGGACGATGTTTGACAACACGCAGTACCCCTATAACTGCTTTAATTACGATGGAGATGATTATCCTACCTGTAGTTCTGACGAAGAGAAAAAATTCACCAGACCGGCGTACAGGTAAGATGAAGTTTTTCCAAGTCCCCCCATCGCTGAGGATGTTCCTGTGCTCTGGGATGGCGGGATCACGGCTCTCGGGGAGCGTGGGAACTGTCCCCAGGAGTGGCAGTGGGTCTGGCCCCACCACAGGCACCGCAGTGGGGCACTTTTCCCCCCCTCTCCGTGTTTGGAGTGTTCACGATTTGTTTCCTCTGGTGCGGGGTGACAGCAACTCTGGCGTGCCGTTGAGCCACCAGACCTCAGATGGTGTCCTCCGAGCTCCAGGAGCACCGGGAGAAGGGGAATTAATTGTGCAGCGTGCCGATGGGTGAATGGGGTGCGGATAATCCCCGGAATGGTGGGCAGATGTGCGGTGAAGATGTTCACAGGGGCAGCAAAGGTCCTTCCCACGGGCAGGCACGGTCTCCAGTGACGGTGTCCCTGAGCCCAGTCTGTGTCACTGCAGCCTCCCAGATCAGGGAAAACTTTTCTGATGGGGTTTGGGAGGTGATCTGTCTGTAATCCCGGACCTAAGCCCCCTGCGCTGGGCGCCAGGGCAAGCAGCCGGGTCGGGGCTCCCTTGCCTGGATGTAACGCCTGCGCGTCACCCCGGGGCTCGGGGCCGAGAGGCATTGGCCACGCTCGGGGTTATCCCTGGGATGGCTCGGGTCGGGGTGCAGATCCACCGGCAGAACTTTTGGAAGGAGGATACAGGCACGCGTGTACCCACGGGGTCCTAAAAACCGAGCGGGTGAGTAAGGCGATGGTGTAACGGCACGTTTTCCTTTTTTCAGCTACATTGCCTTAATTGCAATGGCCATCCAGCAAAGTCCTTCCAATAAAGTCACCCTCTCTGGCATTTATGACTTTATAATGAAGAAATTTCCTTACTACAGATCAAATCAAAGAGCCTGGCAGAACTCCATCCGGCATAACTTATCGCTTAACAGTTGTTTTGTGAAGGTAAGATCAGTAACTGTATATTTACAGACACACTGTGCATGGCTAAAAAAAATATAAGCAGGAATAATGTCATCACTAGGAAAGAAGGGAAACAAACAGCTGAGCTGCAAATCACTTAAAATCTCTCTGAGTTGTCAATTATAAAGAGTATCTCCTTGTCTGATGCGTGCTAATAGATAACAAATTGAAGAGGATGGAGTTTACATCCTATTCATATAATGAAAGGGAATAAGCTTAAAAGTCTTGTCATGTGTGTTTACACCATTCTTGACTGTAAATGAATGCAGATGTTCAGCAGCAGCATCTGTAACACATACAAATACTGAACTGCCTTTAAATAAATACAGGTTCCCAGAACAGAAGGGAATGAGAAGGGGAAAGGAAACTATTGGAGCTTTGCAACGGGATGCGAATCCATGCTGGATCTCTTTGAAAACGGGAATTACAGGCGAAGACGGAGGAGGAGGAACGTGAAAAGGGAACATAAGGAGCAGAGACCAAGCAGAGGGAAAAGTCCTTCATCCCCCGATACACCTTCAGTGGACTCTGCTTTAAACAGCATTTCCTCTTCTGAAAGTAAACGTGAAAGAATCGAATCGGGCCCGAGGCTACCGGAGCCTCGTGGGTTTGCTCCGAGCAGCGTGGCCACCAGGCAGAGCCTCGGCAACCCCTCCTTAGCAAAAGCCGATTCCGAAATTAAATTCAGCATCGACTACATCCTCTCAGCCCCCGACCCTTTGCCTGTCCTGAGGTCTCAATACAATATGCAAGAAAATAAGCATCATCTACTGGAGGCCCAGCAAATTAATCTCCAGTTCTGGACAATGTGATGCTGTCTGGTCGCGGTAACGCGGTGTGGGTTGCGGCGTGTTCCGCAGCCTTGTGTCACCGAAACCAGCCGCCTGCCTCCTCGCCGTCGTCCTCAGCAGAATGCAGAAAGGGTCACCCACGCACCAGCTGAGTCTCTGTCGGTACCCACAGAACTTTGCTGAGATTAAAGCATAAATAACAGTTACCGATACCGGTTTTCACCGTGCTGAACTTCAGGAATTTCTGGCTTTCTTTTCCAAACTGTCGTGGACATCATTTAACACCACAAAGAATTTCCTTCCTCAAGCAGAATCCGACAGAAAAGAGACTTGCTTAGCACCCGTTGCTTTATTAAAGACAAAGTGAATTTGATTCCACTTTCACTGGTGGAAATTAGGATTAATTCCACTGAAGTATATAGGTCAGAACTTAAGCTGATCTAAAGCAGTGTAATTCTGTCGACTTACGCTGGCTGAGAATGTAAGGGGGTGGGGGGGCTGCGTGTGCTTTGTTTTCTTAAAAGGAACCACAGAAAATCACTGTCTTCCCTTATTTTTCATTTTAACATCATGGTTCAAACTGTTTCACAGCTTTAATTCATCATCAATTAGAAAATGTAGTTATTCATAAGTGTTTAAAGTGTATTTCTGTTGATATTCAGGGCAGAGTTGTTTAAACTGTTGAAGTGAAGTTGTATTCAAAATAACTCCAAGAAAGTTAATTGCGAGGCTGTGGTAGACTTTGATGGGTACCGTGACAGAGGCGCGGGGCCTCTTAATGCTTTGGTTTGAAACAAAAACCAACAACTTCTTCCCTTGTACTATCAGGAACCTTCCTGAGATGCTGCAGGAAAGTCCCTGAACGTATCTCGTTTAGGCGGTGTGAAGGGAGACCTGGCTGTGCAAGAAGCTGTATCCAGTGTTGACCAAAGCTAGAATTCCACCTACCGGCTCTGGGACAAGTTGAATATTCCCGTTAAATAGGTTTTTATTGATCCTTCTTGCAAGCAATTACCAAAGCGGCACTTGATACGATTTCAGCAAAGCTGGTGAGATTTATAATTTACAGATGGCAATTACAAAACCAGATCAGGAGCTCCGTTTCTAAGGAAAGCCATTCCCTTACCATTTACATGTGGCGGGATATTTCAGGACAGAACCTGATGGACAGTGATGAACTGTAACGAGCATTTAAGAACTTGCTTTTATACAACTTGTTCACGATGAACTGCTTCCCAGTGCCTAACGGCAGCAGTGGTAAAGGCTCCACAAAATCGTGGGTTTGGCTGGGCTACCACAGTCCTCGCCTACTGCAGATCAAAGAAAAAAAAGCCAAGGATTCTAGTGGTTTTAAACAATTATATACAGAGAGATAAAATTATCTTTGCAACATGAACTAAAGGTAAATGAAGGTATACGAGATAAGATTAAGCAAAATTGTGCTAGAGGTATGCTCAGGCATGACTTGAATTTTTATGCAGAAGCTTTGACATTTCACTAAGTTATTTTACATTGTGTCTAATATATACTGTACATTTATACTATATATTCTTATAGATTGTTATTGAGAAAGGGAGCAATAGCGCTGCACTTATATGTTGTAAAAATGCATGATGTATGTTGTCACGATGCTGAAACTCCTGCCATATACTTAAAATTTACCATCAGTGGTATTTCACACTGATTGGTAATAAATGCTCATTTTTTGGAAAACTATAAAACTTGCTATCTTCAGGCATTTCCACAGCATGCAAAACCCTTTGCTGCTTCTTCAGAGCAGACAAAACAGAAAATCACGTCAGTTACATCACTGCATGTCTTCCAAACTCTGAAGGTATGATTTCTTGTGACCAAATTCTGCCTTCAAATGAGAGCTTTCAGTTCTCTGGGAATCCACGGTCATTCTGGGCGATTATCCGAAAGCAAAATTCGACTCCTTAGACCTGACTCATCTGCCGTTTGCACTGACGTCAGGAAAAGAAGACAACCTCTGGGGTCACCGGGCAGACGGACTCTCATTTGAAGAGGGACGGGAATTTGCTCCTTTATTGTTTACGCTCGGTAGTAAATAGGTGTGGGAAGAGCATGTCCCCAGTGAGCACTCCAGTGTATGCATGCGCTCACCTGCGGGTCGGTACGCGCGCGCCCCTCGGGTCCTGCCTACATTTGTATACTCACGCTTTATTCGCAGACTTTTTTCTTGATTGTTTTAAACATGGCAATGCTGCTGTTAGGCTGACAGTTATAGTACACCTCTGCGGCATATTTGAAATATATATATTTTGCTGTGAAACGTGCGAATATGATTCTTACTCTGTGTTCTTTGTTAGTGCTGTTAGCAAAAGGGAACGTGACGACCGCAAAAGTTCCTACTAAGCAACGCCGTACCCAGGTGAACACAGCGGGCTGCCGAGGCCGATGGAGGTACACTCATGGCTACTAAGGATAATGCAGGATTAATGTGCTAGGAAAGGCAGGAATACACCCAGGTGGATTTACAGCAGAGACCCAAAACCATTTTCAGTACGATGAATTAATATTCACAAATAGCCATGTCCTTTGCTCACAGTAAAGTGCCTGCTAGGAGAGACTGTCATACTTGAGTTTTCCTAACATATAATCAAAGAAATTTGTGTACAAATAGGTGTTAACATTTGTTTTGCAAAGGATATCAATCATATTTCAAAAAATGAAGGGACATATTTCAATTTGCCCAGTATATTATATTCTGACGACTCCAGAAAGGTTTCCAGCACTTAAAGTGAATGGCATTTAATATAGAACAACATAACAGGGGTGAGGGCTAGACGTGACCTTATTCAAATGTCGTAGCCATTACAAAGCCATTCCCAATGTAATTATAATTAAATACTTTATGCCTTTCTTGCAAATCCTCTGATCGATCATTGATATTAACATTAATATTGTATTACCCCCGAGCAAATGTCTCCCACACAAGTGTTATGGATCACCAGGTTTCCATTAACAAAGTTGTGAGCTATTGCCGTGTGCCGGTCGTGGATAAATTTACGTAAATTACCTTTTCTCAGGGAAGGGGGGAAAAAGTCGAGGTTTCTTTCCTTTTATCCCTGCACTCGGAGTCTGGAGCTATTTCTTCAGCTCCAGCACAGCCCGTCAGCCGCTCACAGAAAGCCGGAACGAAAGAAAAAAGAAAAATCTCACCGGCACATCCCTCTCTGCCCCGTGTTGAAGCAGGCGAGCGTTCTCCTGCCACAGCTGGTTTGGTGCGTGGGCGGAAAGCTGAGCCGAGGGCAGTGCTGAGCAGTGCCAATGGGGGTCTGCGCCCCACCAAAGGGGGTGACCATCAGCCAGTGGTGCGCCGCAGCCAAAGTGAGAAAGGTAGGGGTGCTCGGCTCAGCCCTCACCTGGAGGGGCCTTCCTGACGGCACAGGGAGACCCGCAACGAGCCGTGGGTTTCCGAACCCCAAAGAGGTGCTCCCTCGAGGGCTGACGCCGCCTGTCCCAAGGCTTTTGCGGCAGGAGGTGGCAGTGGGAGAGCGGGTCCTCCACCGGGTTGGTGGGCAAGGTGGGGGCAGAACAAACCTTCTGGCTGCTCCTGTTAGGGTCATAAATACCTTTGGAAAGGAAAGATGAAAGGTTTCTGTCTGGGGAGAAGCTGGACTCGGCCTCACCGAGGGACCCTGGGGAGGTTTGTTTATTTGTCCTTTTGAAGGAAGGCTTCCCATGATCAAACAAAGATTTTGATGGAGGTACGCCAGGTTATTCTGCAGCGATTTCACTTCTAATGATTTAATTTCTTAGGCTCTTGTCATTGGTGTCACAGAATTGTTTTTAGCACAGCGAGATGGTGCTCCGCCTCAGATAACACTGAATGCAGACCAGTGGCTGACCTCACCTGTGGGAACCTCTCCCTCAGCAGAACCTCCTCCTCATTATGAGAACATTAATGCAAATTAGGATAGCTGAAAACAAACCTTTTCTTTGTCAGTAAAGCCAAGTTCCCCTATTTTTCTGCCGATCAGATAGATCTTATTAGTTGAGACCCATTAACTCCCCACATAAACAGCAGCTGTGTCCAAGGAGCGTTTGAAGGTCGGGCCACGCTGGAGAGCTGACTCTCCCCACGCCTTCGCTTTGTTGGGCTCCATCGTACCGCTGGGGCTGCCGCAACCTTCCTCAGCCGCGCAGCAGGTTGGTCCCGCTACCTCGCAGAGCAACCCGCGTGCTCCCTCAAAGAGGAATCGAGACTTTTTGCACCATTTTCTGGTCACAGAGGGTTTTCCTTTTGGGTATCGAGTGCCCATCCAGGTCCAAATCTTATGTGTTTTCCCCACTTTCTACTGACAGAGGGGACGCAGTGGGAGGGAAAGGGGTTTGGAGGGACAAGCCTCGGCGAAAAAGCTCTGCTACGTGTCTTCCAGTGGTACAGAGCCGTTTGGGACTCTGCGAATGGCACAGCGCGAGGGTCCTCGGGGCTGTGTATCAGGTCTCTGTACTGTACATAGAGGGCAGCTTCTCCCCAGTGTCCCACCGCACTCAAGCTCAGGTGAAAGAGGGAACCTAGCCCACATGTCCCTAAGCAATCAGGGCCTGAATCTTCGCCTCTGGCAGCATAACACAACCCCCCGTCCGTGATCAGCACGTCAGATCCCAAACCCAAGACACGGAAACCCTGTGCTGCTCCTGCCAGGGGCCTCTCCCCTCTCCGGCTCCTCTGGGGCATGCTCCCCTCCCAGCTCGGGGCGTCTAGAGCCTTCCAAATCCACTAACTTTGGTACAATCACTTTTGGAATTGAAATAGCCCGTGTGAAACTGCTCTTCACGTATTCTACCCATCGTGTCCACTCACACGGTCTGCCAAACCGTGCCAGCAGCCCACCTCCAAGATGATAGCACTCTCAGAGCAACAAAAGGTCCTGCCTTTTCGTTTTGCCTCGGCATCCAGCTTCTAATTGCTTTCTCCAGAACATGGGTACCATATGCACTGCAATGCACAAAGAACCTAGTACTTACCCTCTGTCTCTGTTTTACTGGGAGTG